TATGCTCCCCTCTTTATGAAAGCATAGGGGTTTGGGTTTCATCCTTGTCACTTTTGGGAAACTTCAGACTGTTTAGTTATGGCTTGTAATGGCCTGATCTGGAATTCTGCAAGCAAGGCTCAAGATCTGAGCTCAAATCTGCTGCCGAAGAGGAAAGATTTTTGCAGCAGCTTCTCATTACCAGCTGCGAGATAAATCTCTCAGTAGAGACATGGTTTTTGGAAGATGTATCACATAATTCCGTTCCATGATATTTTCTGTTTTGAACTGTACTAATGCAATAGTTAAAAGAAAAACCTCTAGCTGTTGGTTTTCAAGTAAGATACATTGGAAAGTTTTGTTCTGGGGGATGCTGGAAGTGGGAGGAGGAAATCCTGCTTAAAGAGGATGGCATAGAACTGCCTTGGGGAGAGAGCTCCCAGCTATCTGTCGTGGGTTTGGTATTGTTGGACAGATGGGGACTTTGAGTTTCATCAAGTTTCTTCTGCTCTCTATCCTTTACCCTCCAACTCGGGAAGGGTACCCGTGAACGAACAGGGAAGCATTAAAAGAACTGTGATGAAGAAAGTAAGACAGAGGATGAGGAAAAGGGATCTGGCTTCCATTGGACTCCTGTAGCTGGCCAGCGAAGAGGAGAGATTTTTGCAGCAGCTTCTCATTACCAGCTGCGAGATAAATCTCTCAGTAGAGACATGGTTTTTGGAAGATGTATCACATAATTCCATTCCATGATATTTTCTGGTTTGAACTGTACTAATGCAATAGTTAAAAGAAAAACCTCTAGCTGTTGGTTTTCAAGTAAGATACATTGGAAAGTTTTGTTCCGGAGGATGCTGGAAGTGGGAGGAGGAAATCCTGCTTAAAGAGGATGGCATAGAACTGCCTTGGGGAGAGAGCTCCCACCTATCTGTCGTGGGTTTGGTATTGTTGGACAGATGGGGATTTTGAGGTTCATCAAGTTTTTTCTGCTCTCTGTCCTTTACCCTCCAACTCGGGAAGGGTACCCGTGAGCAAACAGGGAAGCATTAAAAGAACTGTGATGAAGAAAGTAAGACAGAGGATGAGGAAAAGGGATCTGGCTTCCATTGGACTCCTGTAGCTGGCCAGCGAAGATGATTACCCTGTAATTAGTCTGTGTGCCTTCCCCTTCTGAATGTATTTGGAATATGATGCATGGCACCTTGGGTCACGTTCCCCTCTGTGGTGAGGGTAGAGATCTCTGCTCTTGCAGCTTTGTGCCCTTGACATCCCAGTTGGTGAGATGTGTCTGGAGTTAGGGGGCTCTTCTAGACCTTGGTATTTTGCCCAGAGGGAAAAAAAAGTATTAATTCATAAGATCATCCGTGTCTTTCTGTTCTACCTTAAAGTTTGTTTTGGTTGGTTGTGTTGTTTTTTTTACCTCGGCAAAAATTTGAAATTACTGCTCTGAGGTTTGAGACAGACCCTTTGCCACTCGGATTCCTCTTATTGTCCCTTAGTTCCACACTTCCCTAAAGCTCCATCTGGTTTTATTTCAGTAAGTCCTTTACCCTCCAACTCGGGAAGGGTACCCGTGAGCAAACAGGGAAGCATTAAAAGAACTGCGATGAAGAAAGTAAGACAGAGGATGAGGAAAAGGGAGCTGGCTTCCATCGGACTCCTATAGCTGGCCAGCAAAGATGATTACCCTGTAATTAGTCTGTGTGCCTTCCCCTTCTGAACATATTTGGAATATGATGCATGGCACCTTGGGTCACGTTCCCCTCTGTGGTGAGGGTAGAGATCTCTGCTCTTGCAGCTTTGTGCCCTTGACATCCCAGTTGGTGAGACGTGTCTGGAGTTAGGGGGCTCTTCTACACCTTGGTATTTTGCCCAGAGGGGAAAAAAAAGTATTAATTCATAAGATCATCCGTGTCTTTCTGTTCTACCTTAAAGTTTGTTTTGGTTGGTTGTGTTGTTTTTTTTACCTCGGCAAAAATTTGAAATTACTGCTCTGAGTTTTGAGACAGACCCTTTGCCACTCAGAAGCGTTGTGGCCAGGATTCCTCTTATTCCCCCCTTAGTTTCACGCTTCCCTAGAGCTCCATCTGGTTTTATTTTAGTCAATGGTTTCCTCTTTAAAGAATATCCCTGAGAATATGACTCGAAACGTAAGCCTGCTTGTTTTCCTAACCAAGAAAGTAAGACAGAGGATGAGGAAAAGGGAGCTGGCTTCCATCGGACTCCTATAGCTGGCCAGCAAAGATGATTACCCTGTAATTAGTCTGTGTGCCTTCCCCTTCTGAACATATTTGGAATATGATGCATGGCACCTTGGGTCACGTTCCCCTCTGTGGTGAGGGTAGAGATCTCTGCTCTTGCAGCTTTGTGCCCTTGACATCCCAGTTGGTGAGACGTGTCTGGAGTTAGGGGGCTCTTCTACACCTTGGTATTTTGCCCAGAGGGGAAAAAAAAGTATTAATTCATAAGATCATCCGTGTCTTTCTGTTCTACCTTAAAGTTTGTTTTGGTTGGTTGTGTTGTTTTTTTTACCTCGGCAAAAATTTGAAATTACTGCTCTGAGTTTTGAGACAGACCCTTTGCCACTCAGAAGCGTTGTGGCCAGGATTCCTCTTATTCCCCCCTTAGTTTCACGCTTCCCTAGAGCTCCATCTGGTTTTATTTTAGTCTATGACTCGAAACGTAAGCCTGCTTGTTTTCCTAACCATTTTCTTACTGGAATTGAGGCCAGTCGCTTATGTGTAATAGGAAGACACCAGACACCAGAGGGGGAGAGATCAACTTGCGTGTCACAGAAGAAGAAAGCTCATTCCAAGCTAGTTTCAAGTTAACGTCATCTAACTCCTCATTGCCAACTACATTGTAAGGACAGGAGAAAGAGACAAAAAGGCAAAAGTTTGGGAACTAGCAAGTCATTCTAAAAGCTGTCCCCCTTGAACAGCCTCCAGCTCCAGACCTTGATTTAGCGGTTGCACTCAAGAAACGTTGCCATTCACTACTCTGGTTTTATTTCAGTAAATGGTTTCCTCTTTAAAGAATATCCCTGAGAATATGACTCGAAACGTAAGCCTGCTTGTTTTCCTAACCATTTTCTTACTGGAATTGAGGCCAGTCGCTTATGTGTAATAGGAAGACACCAGACACCAGAGGGGGAGAGATCAACTTGCGTGTCACAGAAGAAGAAAGCTCATTCCAAGCTAGTTTCAAGTTAACGTCATCTAACTCCTCATTGCCAACTACATTGTAAGGACAGGAGAAAGAGACAAAAAGGCAAAAGTTTGGGAACTAGCAAGTCATTCTAAAAGCTGTCCCCCTTGAACAGCCTCCAGCTCCAGACCTTGATTTAGCGGTTGCACTCAAGAAACGTTGCCATTCACTACATTTTATAGCTATTTTAATGGTATCTGTGACTGTAGTGATGTTTCACAGGATTATTTTTATTATTTTTACTGTATTCAATGTGTATGAGAAGACACATGCAATGGCAGTTTTATGTAGACTTTTCTTTGTCAAGTGTTAATTAACGTACGACGTTAGTTCGGAAGCGAAGTATGTTATAAATTTTGAGGTATGATTTGAAAAAAATGAAGTTCCAGTGAACAGTGAGTACTTGGAGCAGAAACTGTGAGACACAAAACGTGCTGCTTGGCAAACAAAGCAGGAGTTGCCTCGTGAGGCAGTTTGAAAGGTGTGAAAGGTAATGTAGGGTAAGTTTTCCTAAGTCATTATTTTAAAAATGGCACTGACACAAGACACAGCTAACAGAATGTTCCCTCGTTTCTCCTGGCTTGTAGGAAAAACCACAAGTCTTGATTCCCAGTCAGGCAATCCCTGTGATACGGGGATCCTATCACAAACTAATGCCTTTGGGGGTCACTGCCTGTTAACGGTGCAACTTCTCCTGCCATTCCCTGGGACTCTCCTCACTTTAATAGATTGCAGTGCCCTGAAATGGGAATGAGTGGCTCCATGATCTCCACTGCAGAAGGTTTCCCTTCCAGAGCTCGGAAGACAGACACAAGTGGGGTCTTTTTGAGTCCCCCAGAGCCATCAAGTGTGCAATCAGTTGTGGAGTTTTTCCACGACAGCAGCAGAATCTTTCAGATCTGCAACAGCCCGGTTTCTAAAATCCTTCAGTCATCATCGGGTAAAGTTCGGTTTGTTTTGTTTTGTGCAATGTTGCTTTGGAGGAGCACTGTAAAGGGTAGAGAAAGCAGAGGAATACACCACTGCCCTGGTGCAACACCACGGGTGTGATGTGCTGAACAGGAAAACCTGCATTTGTGAGCAGGGACATTCTGTGGGATAAGGGGATACCAAACAAATCACGGAATCATGGAATCGTCAGAGTTGGAAAGGACCTTCTAGAGATCATCCAGCCCAACTCCCCTGCCAAAGGAGGATTGCCCAGAGCACATCACTCAGGACAGCATCCAGGTGGGTCCTGAAGATCTCCAGAGAAGGGGACTCCACACCCTCCCTGGGCAGCCTCTTCCAGGGCTCTGCCACCCTCACCAGAAAGTTCTTCCTCATATTTGAATGGAATTTCCCATGTTCCAGCTTGTGCCTGTTGCCCCTCGTCCTGTCACTGGGAACCACTGAAAAGAGTCCAGCTCCATCCTTCCTCAAACCACCCTTTAGGTACTTGTAAATGTAGGTAAGGTCTCCCCTCAGCCTTCCCTTCTCCAGGCTAAAGAGCCCCAGCTCTCTCAGCCTTTCCTCATCAGGGAGATGCTCCAACCCCTCCATCATCTCTGTTGCCCTACGCTGGACTCTCTCCAGCAGTTCCCTGTCTCTCTTGAACTGGAGGCAGTATATTCCAGCTGTGGCCTCACCAGAGCAGAGAGGAAAGGGTTAACCCTTGCCGGTTGCCGTTCTGCTCTCTAACCAGGACTTTCTGGTAAAATAACGAACTCAAGGAGCGTTTTCCTCCTGTGCCTCGCTGCTCCTGTCTGTGGCACCAACAATGTCTTTATTCCCCTGAAAACAGGCTGGGCAGCGAGCAGCCCCCGTTCCTCAAAAGCGGGTTAATTTTGGGGAGTAAACACCCCAACACTCCGCAAAAAGGCGGGTGTTTCAGGTCAGAGAGGGATTTTATGATTCCCTTCCCCTCGTTGGTAAAGGCGGGGACCCAGACCCCTTCGGCGGGAGGCGCCGAGGCCGGGGCGCAGCACCTGTAGGCGAAGGGGGGGCTGCCCCCTCAGCGGGCCCCGCACCGGACGGACGGACCGACTGACAGACAGACACACACCCGCGGGACGGAAGGGAGCTGCCCTGCCCAGAAGAAGGAAAACCACCCAAAAACCACCACCCCGCGGCCGCCGGAGGAGAGACGCCCTCCGCTGGGGCTCGCCCACGCCCGGCGTGGCAACCCAGCGCCGCCCGCCCCGAGCCCCGGAGGCGGCCCCGGTCGGTCCCCTCCGCCGGTGGAGGAGGAGCGGGACGATGCTGGCGGGGCTGGTGCGGAGGGGCTGGCTGCGGGGCAAGCGGCAACCGGCGGTGCTGCTGTGCGGGCGGGATGGCTGCCTCCACGCCTCAGCGCCTGAGGTAAGTTGGGGGGGGGGGGGGCTGGGGGCGGGACGGGGGGGGATTCCCCCCCCTTCC